CTGCATGCTAGCCTTTGTGACTTCCCTTTTGTTCCAACTTCAAGTTTGCACGTTCAACTGCGCGTGTTCGACTTTCCTTTGTGCGCACCTCGAACTTTGCACGTCGACCTGTGACTGCGTTTTCATGTTTGAGCACCGTGCGCGAATTTATGTACCATTCGCCGCGATGAGCCCAACCCTGGCGACCCGCCGCAGATGCTTGTGGAGGGCAAGCCCGGCACCTGAAAGACCCAATTCGTACAGGCGCTCCTCTGATTGTGACTATCCATAGTCACAATCTATATGTGACTATCGATAGAGCGCGCTGTTCGCGCGAGTGGGCCGTAGCTCCGTCGCTGAATTGTGCGGACCATCGCTGAGTTGTGCGGACCACTATGTGCTGTGCTCCTAAGGGCCGCATTGCTACATGCAATTCAGCTGCGGAGCTACGGCCCACTCGCGCGAAGAGCGCGCTCAGACACACAAGCAGTAAAGTATACGAAGGCGGAACAAAAGTAAGGTTGCAAAGCCTAGCACGCAAATTTAGCCTGTCGGCCAGTGTGAAGCGCTCGCGCGGGAGTCGAACCCGCAGGGGCCTCCACACACATTGGTGGGCGGCTCCCCATTCCTTCACGTAGGGAGCGAGCGTGTCGTCCGGGGTGCCCCCCTTACCCCGGACGCTGTCATTTAACGCCGTACAGTGGCGGGTCGTGGCTTCACTCTCAACTAGCCCTGGGCCGGGCGGGTCCAGCATGCTTCCAGCTGTCGTGCATGCTCGAATTCGGTTGTATACCGCTGCTCCGTCTCGCGTGCTGCCTGCTGCAGTAGGCGCAGGTTGGCGGCCAGGTCCGGCTCGAGGTTAGTCGCGCTGAGGAATTGTCTGATTATCCTCTTGCGCTCGTGTGGCGTGGTATAAAGCGGCCGTAGCAGACGGACGTGGTCCAGCGTCTTAAAGCGGGTCAGCAGCACATACAGGGTGGCGCGCTTGATGCCGTTGGGTGGGACAGCGAGGTCCACCAGCCAGCACTCGTCTTTGAAGCTGCGGCCTTGCACGAATTAATCGGTGACCGCCTGGCGGTCGCCGAGCGGTACGTTGAGGCGCCGGATCTGCTTTGTGATGGTGCCACATCCGGCGGCGGGCATCTCCACCTCGGCAATGCAAGACGCCCGGGGTGACAGGATGAAGGCGCCACCCCTGCTGGCGTAGTCTCCAAGGCCCTGCAGCACGGTGTCGGGGATGTGGCCGCTTATAGGCCGCACAATGACGGCCGCCGGAAGGTACTTGAGCCCACGGTAGGGGCCACGGCCATCATCTGCTGGCTCGCGGCCATCCTCAAGCAGGCCGCAGGTTTCCACCTCGTTGTTGTGACTCGCCCCGGCATCGGCTGCTGTCGTATCAAGGAGGATGTATCGGGCGCCATGGTAGTACCACGTGTCGGCGGTGGTGTGGCCAAACTCGTCATCCTTGATCCGCATCGCAATGGCTTTCTCCACGTGGGTTAGGGCCGGCTCCACAGCGGCGCCACGCTTCTGGACAGGGACGTGGTCCGCGTTCCACACCACAAGGCGCTGGTTCTTGCGCTGTGCCTCCAGCATGATGAGCCGGGTGTTGAGTGTGTGGCGTGGCTCGTTCCTCTGCAGCACGACGCGCGGCTCGAGGTGTGCTAGGTCGGCCAAGTCAGCGACGGCGCGGCTGTTGAGGTCGTCGACCATCTCGGCTATGCGCTGCTCGGTGGCTGGCTCACCGCCGAACATAGAGGCGTACACTGTCAGGCGGCGACCAGAGGGACTGCTGTCCTGGCGCTGCTGCTTCTCCAGCAAGAAGACCGTCTTAGCAAGGGATCGGTAGACCCGGAAGCCCTCGAGTATGCAGCTCTGAGTCTGTGGGATGGCCCGGGGCCGGTGTGCTGCTACTTCAGGTCGCTGCTGACCGCCTTGAGATCCAGTGGCGGCCTCATTAGGGTCGCCATCGTTGTCATCCTCTCCACGCAGAGGTTGTGCGGTCGGGATGGAGGGCGAGAACTGGGGGTTGCATTCCACAGCGGCGGCGTACCGGTAGAGGGGCGGCCCACCTGGCTTTGGGTGCTGGAACTCATCGCCTGTGTTGGCGCTGGGGCGGCCGCTGAAGATGGTGGCGGCGGGGTGGTCGCCGGCGAGATGCGGTGGCGGCAACAGGTGACGAGTGCAAGATTGGTTGCACGCACCCAGGTGGTCCAGGCTGTTCATGCCGATCTCGTCAATGATGAGCGCGCCATCGCCGACATTGCGATGCACCTGTAGGCTAGCTGCACTGCCTTTCCTGACGCTGTCCGCTCGGTTGCTGCCAGCAGATAGGGCGAACATGGCGTGGGTAGAGAGGCTCCGATGCACCGGCGTGTTGAAGGCAGTGCAGCA